TGTTGTTGCGGTTGTTGTTGTGTTTGCTGCTATTTTTTTCTCATTAGCACTGTAAATAGCGCCGTTGGTATTGTTGTCAATGTGGTTGTAAATGCCTGGGCGTTATCGGTTTAGTTATTTTTTCTTTTTATTGTACACTATTTATTGTTGTTGTCGTTAAGATTATTTCATTATCTATGTGATTATCGCTATTATCTGTTGTCCTGTCTATGATTTTTGGTGACGCGCCGGGTTTTTTTTATTATCATTCGATACATTGTTTTTGGTTTGTGATGTGATTGTCTTAGATGTTTGTTCACGTCATTCGATTGAAGTTCTTGAAAAAAAAGTGTATAGATCACAGTCGAAAATGATAAATAATTAACAAGCCACCTTTCTCAAAGGTGTCTTGGGTCTCCGGCCGCTCTCCTCAAGCAGACGTGCGCACGGCGCTCTGCCTACTTACCAAGATGAATTATCACAGGCAGTAGCTGCTCCGATCATTAACACCACCACTACGATAATCTTTTAAACTAATAACATAAACATGAGTTACTGGTTGAAAATTAAATTTTACAAATGTTTGAATCTTATAAAGGGATGATAAATCAATTGTACAAACTTCTGGGCTCAGAAATGTTACCTCACAGAATATAAGGCATGTAATATCATTCAGCATAAACTATTGAAACTAATTAGTTGTTACACTGTGAAGTTGTTCTATAGGTTTGACATCAGCCAAACGTGGGCTGAATAAAAAGATATTTTTTTTCAACTAATAATGATGCTAATTTCATTTTGAAAACAAATTTCAATATTGGCTATGAAATATTTTACGCTCACAAACTCCATTATGAAAAAAATTAGGATAATTAACGAGTTACAAAGCCTTATTTCGATAAGAGTTTGAAAATTTATTGCTAAAATTCAAATCATAACTAAAAGAAAAACGTTTTAATAAAAAGTAAAAAAATATAAAATAAACACAAAGCAGAATAAAAAATTTCCTAATGTAAAATCTTTACCATGTACGGCGTTGTTCAGCCCACGGCATTTGATAATTTTTTAATCTCCAAATTGCTTCTATAGCAGATTTCAAATCATTATAAAGTGATTGCATGAGTGTATGCAGATAAATCTTGCATTCGTTTTGCATTTTTATCTCATTCAAATATCTGAATTTGAAACACGCACGTACACTCACATACACGCACATACATAAACGTACACACGCATCTGTCAATGTTTATTTTTGTGTTTTTACTTTTTTAATAAAGAAGCACTGCTTAGATAACGTGTAGTAAAATATTTTTTAATAAAATTTAACTTTCTCAAATTTTCTCAAAAATAATATTTTATTCATTTTTAAAATCTCCGAGTAACAATACTTTATTCCAATTAGAATATTTTCAGCTGAGCGGCGGCTTTTAAAAACTTTTCATGCTTGGTTTATCGTCAGAGTCATGCCGATGTCAAATAATTGAAAATATTTATGTGCCTGCGTGTGTATGTATGTGTGAATGTATGTATGTATGTGTGTGTGTGTATGTATGTGTATGTTTGTGTGTGTGTATGTTTGCAAATAATTAAATAATTTGAATTTTTATCCTCTGAATGTTATCAATTGTTTAGCCATGTTCAAAAACAACATATCGACATAATGTGCATAATTTGCCTGAGGACAACATTGAAACAAAAATATTAAAACATACATAGTATTAAAGTTTGTATACATTTCGTTGTTTACATTTCGTTGTTTATGTTTAGTTGTTTATGTTTAGTTGTTTACGTTTAGTTGTTTTTTATATCTCTACTAATCAATCATCGTCCATGTCTTCGCTAAGTTCATCGTCACCTCCATCATCATCATTGAAACGAAACCGAAAAGATTATTACCATATCACTATAATCATCATCATCATCATCACAACCATCATCATCATCTTCTTCATCACCATCATCACAACCATCATTAACACATCATCATCATCATCATCATCATCATCATCACAACCATCACCATCATCATCATCAACAACAACAATAAAAACGTCATCTTAACCATCGTCATCGTCGTCATTATCATCATCATCATCTTAACCATTATCATCATCATCATCTCAACCATCATCATCATCGTCATCCTTAAGATCATCATCATCATAACTTCCGAAATAATCACAGACATCATCCAAGATATGCTTGGCAATAAAATAATTTCTGCTCGCGTCGCAATGCTAATTAAAGATGTTTTTTATGTTTGTATGTTTGTATGTTTGTATGTATGTATGTATGTATGTATGTATGTATGTATGTATGTATGTATGTATGTATGTATGTATGTATGTATGTATGTATGTATGTATGCATGTATGTATGTGTGTGTGTGTGAATGTGTATATATATATATATATCCATATTTGTGTGTTGTTTTGTGTGTGTGTATATAAACAGCACAAAAACGATACGGAAACCATAAAAAAATGTTGAAAAATTTTCATATTCTCATATTGTTATTTAACTTTCTTTTTATTTTACTGATTCTTATTTTTCTCAATTTTCTTCATTTTTTGAGTTGTCTCAATTCTGTTAATGATTATATATGTAGCAATATAAATAAGTAAATGAATAAATAACTATATATTTATATGTATGTGTGCGAGGTGCGTGTGTGTGTTTGTGCTCTTTTTTTAGTTTTTTGAATGGTTCAACCAAAGCATGTTTGTTTGTTATGTATGTATATAAATTTCAATAAGGGACCAGCTTTTTCAGTGCTAAATCATTCATCAAACGATCTCTGTACTGCATATATAAATAAAAACATTTGTTCAAAAACCAGAATAAATAAATAATAAATACGTATATATATATATATATATATATATATATATATATATATATATATATATATATATATATATATATATATGTTATATATAAATATGTTATAAGAGAGGGGTGGGCCAACGTTTTGCTATAAAGGCCGCATTGAGAACTATTTTACCTTTGAAGGGCCGCATATGTACTTAAACAGCAAATTTTTTCGACCCAAGGGAGAATTTTTTTAAGATTTGTGGCTCCTTTTTTTGGTAATAATGTCTGGCTGACGACTTTTTTTGGCTGAACAAGACCTCGCGGGCCGCATAAAATAGCTTCGCGGGCCCTAGTTTGCTCACCCCTGTTATAAGATATGGCAAACATACTTTGGTTAAATATCAAAAAGCTACTAAGCGGCTTTAAAAATGTGGTGCATCATCATAGTCATTCTCATCATCGTCGTCATCATCATCACCATCCTAGTCATCATCATCATCACCATTCTAGTCATTATCATCATCATCACCATCATCATAAGTATCATCCTAGTCACCATCATCATCATTTGTTCCTTTTTATTTTTATTATCTTTCTCCTCATCATTAGAACAATCATAGAATATATCTATCTACTTTATGATCAAGAAATTTTTCTGTGTTGATTGCACGATGATTTACATTTTCTTGTAACTTGTCTACATAATTTCTGTTTTTGTGTGTGTGTTTGTCTGTTTGTGTGTGTTGTGTGTGCGTGTGTGTGTGTGTGTTTGTCAGTCTGTTTCTATGTAGAAAGGACATTTTTTATTTCAACTGGTTGATTTATTATTGGATTTCTTGAGTTGTGCTTCACGTTGTTGTTTTGTTGTTGTTGCTTTTGTGTTTGTCGTTTTAATTTTGTTGTGTTGTATTGTTGTGTTTGTTGGTGCTGTAAATTGTTTGTTGTGTTGTTTGATTCCTTGGTTGTGTAATTTTGTTTTGTTGTTGCCATAGATAGATGTGTTGCTGTTTTGTTGTTGTTTTTGTTGTTGTTTCTATTGTTAATATTGTATAGTTACTATAAAAATGTTATTTGAATTGTTGAATGATTTTGTTGCTATTGCTGTCTTTGTTGTTTTTGTTTTTCTAAGATGTGTTTATGACATGATGTTATGTTGAACTAAGTGGATGATGTGGTAAAATAAAACTAAATTTCGGCTAATTTGTTTTTTTTAGACAAAAATACTTTGATACCAATGTCATTTAAATAACAACACACATGCAACGTCATGAACACTGACGTAAGTTTCGCAAAATGTTATCAATATATCTTCAATAACAAAAACAACAACACGACAATATAAACAACAACAAACGCAACAACAAATATAAGAAAATACATAAATAAACGCTCATAAAAATGAAATCGCCGCCCATAGCAGCAAAAACAACGAAAACATCAACACCAATAACATCAGCAAAAACAACAACACCAGTGACTACTTCAGAAACAACAACACCAGTAAAACTAACAAAAACAACGACTATTTCTCGACAGCCACAACAACCACAACGACCACACAAACGTTAAGAGCCCGCGTGTACGGATGTGTAGAGCTGTGCGACTGCAGAGGACAAATGATTAATCTCGTAGATAGATGATCCTATTGAATTGAACGATCAAATTATTCGGATTTAAAATTTAATTATTTAAAATTCAATTTATTTTTATTCTATTTAAATATAAATAAATAGTTTAAAATTGTTAAAATTATGTAAAAATATATTATGTGAAGGAGATTACATAAAAATAGACAATTAGATTAAAATGCAACTTGAATTTTTCCAACAAAATTATTTTTCCTTTAAACTGAACTGTTGGACGGCCTGGAAATGCTTCCATCGTTGCATTTTTTTATTTTTCCTTTGAAATTATTTTTTGAAATCTAGCTTCATAGTGAGTCACTGTTGTTCAATAAATGTAAATTAAATTATACTTCAATTTACTTTTAAATATCATGATAAATCACATCTGATGTATGTACCTTTACACATTAGCATAACATCAATCCACGTTTTTATCCCCATATGATAATCTATTTATTTTAGGAAGAATTTTCAACCAGTACTTCACCCAGCTTTGCATAATAACGTAATTATATTCATTCAACGCAGGGTGCTCATACGAACCTTGCAATGCCTGCTGGACATCCAATCAAACCTGCACTTTCACTGTCTAGACAACTCACGTGAGGCTTCAGACGAGTTGAACTTCCGGTACATTGAACCAATCGTAGAAGAGACGCAACACTTCCTATCCGAGTTTCCCTGCGAACTGCCAGCCAGTCTGCAGTTGAAGTACAAAACCAATTCAGCAAGCCCATTCAGTTCATGGTTCCTCAGAAGTTCGACGACAATCTCTTTGCCAATTGTTACCTCGTTGACTTCAGACTATCGAATAAATTTCGTTTTAAACATTTTCCTCATTTCAATTATTATATTCTGTGTTGCGTTTCTTGTTTTTGTCGTAATAAACGAGCTGGTTGTTGTGAGTTTTCACTTATGCCTTTCACATTCTTGTTGTATCATTTTGTTTTTGATTGTGAGAATAATTTTTTCATCTGAAACTTATATTTCGAACGTAGCAGACGTTAACGCAACGATTGTTAGTCCTCTGACTTGGTTCCCACCATCAACAACGCACGTAGCTCTAGTAGAAATTGTATGTGTCGTCCTACCATTTGTCGGTGCGGCGTTTACCTTATTATTTTTGTACATCCCAAATGAATTCAATTCATTTACGTTACTCGTTTATATTAAAAAGAATAAAGCGCTTCAAATGCATTTAGAATTATTAGCTAGGTGATTTAAACGAATGAAAAATTATTGATAAATAAGTAAAAATGAATTAATTATTAACCGTAACTAGGAAATGGCATTTTGCATTCGTTCATTTCTATATTTTTTTCTTTTTTAAATATTCTCTCTTCAATCAATTTTATTGTTATTTGTCCTAAACTTTCAATGTCGATATTTCAAATTTTTGTTTTAAAATAATTAAATGTATCATAATAAATGGCTCTCATTGTTTTTTCTTCAAAAATACCGAAACGCGTCGAAACAAATTATACTATACAAAAGAAAATCTCATTGAAAAACTTATTGATATTCAACAAGTGACACAAGGACTTCACGAAAGTTAATCGTTGTTGACCGCGATCTCTTTTTCCTGCAATCTTTCCACTGGTTGTTAAATTTTCCATTCTTTCCTTCCGCATGAAATGACCAAAAACCTTTAATTGCCCCCATCGGATTATTTGTAGTAGTTTCCTCTTTTCCAAACCGGACTGTTTTAACACATCTTTATTTGATGTATGAGAGGTTCAACTAATTTTCATAATTCTTCTCAAAAACATGCATCTTTTGCTATAGCTATCCTTCTTTTAATATCCACATCCCATTTACAACCTAATCAGACTTCCGAGATAATTGAAGCAGTTGAATTGTTTCACCTGTTTACCATTAATGATCATGAAGCAGATCAGAGCGATTTGGCTTTTACTGATAACCGTGCACTCTGTTCTTTTTTGTTTGGGAATGATTCACACAAAAAATAATTGGGGCGTCAAATATTTTGTCCCATCCGTTGAAATGTTATGGTTTTGGTAGGTTTCAGAGCAAATTAAGTTGAGTTTATTATGTTTCATATTTTGAATTTTAATATTTTGAATATTTGATAATTTAAACTTGAAATAAATGAAGGAAAAAAATATATGAATATTTATAATTATATTCTTCGACGCCGCTCTTATCATTGAAATAAAGTGATAGAGCATTTTCAATACCAAAGTTGTATGTAGATGGATGACGTCACAGAGCCCTGATGTCTTATTATAAGTATATGTCTGATACTGAACTTAAACAAATGGCCAAAGATAGAAAAGAATTTTTGAGACAACAAGAAAGATTAAGATGGATGTCGTCGGCTTTAACGGTTCCTTATTAGTTTGAACTTAAGAATGAATGATATGCTGTCAATGCTCTATCAATTAACTGCTATAAAAGGATTTGGTTTATTAATAAAATTGACATAACAATATGCAAGTGAAAGTATGTCACTAACTCCTAATTTATTGTATAATGACCATTTTTGCAACCATCTAAAATTCTATTAATGGACGTGACGATGCATCCACAACTACTTTATTAGATTCTTTGATTTTTTGTCAAGGGTTAGTGTTCTGTTTTGTTATCGTTCATTTTCCAAGTCGATGTTGATAATATGAAGACTAGACAAGACATCAAGTCGATTGAATAATGAATGATTTTTAAATGATTTTCAATTTTAGAAACGATTGTACTTAAATTTTACGATACAATATGGATCACTCATATTCGACTGAACGGGAAAGACTGCAAAAAGTGGACCATGCCTATTTCTCCATTGGTAAGAAAACTCCGAAAGTTGTACTGAGGAAAGCTCAATCCAACAAGGAACAACGGGATGGAGAGAGGCAGCTGGTTGACAAAGATCATTCCTATCATAGAATCAATCCTGTCTCTGCTTTCCATTATAATAATAATAAACCTTCTAGTCTCCTCACTGCTGACAAGAATAAAAAATCTCATTTCACACATCATCACAAACCTGTCACAAGTTGGTCCACTTTTTTAATTCTCATGTCGGTGTGCATGTTGTGTTCTTTTGGTTCACATTTAATACGTCAGATTATCAATTAAGTTTTTCTAAACCCTGATTCAGAAATCTAGTGTAGAACTTACTTGTTTAGAAAGTTTCTATAATAATAAAATTATACATAATGTACATAATTTCATATAGTATTATTATAGTTCATGTTCTTTGTCTTTCGATTTTATTTTGCAATATTTATTTCAAATAATTACATGTTTTAATGATTCACATGCTGCAGTAGGTAGACGACCCAAACAAAACATAAGTTGTAAAAAGATGTTAGCAATTACTGGCCAGAGAAGTAGGCATACAACGAAAGAAACAAAACAATTGCTGAAACACAAATCTCTAAATTTACAACTGAAGGCACCGAATGTTAAACTGGTTGCACACGTCTTCGCAGATGAAGCACATGGCACAGACAGCTTCTCCGACCATAGTTACTTCAACTACAGGTTAGCTGAACCACAAATTTTTCTTTTATAACTGATTATATTGGTGAAATTACCATAGATTAATTATACATTTCATTATTTTTGTTATTATTGGTGATGCTGGAAACTAATTAAAACTATTTTATAATATCTCAAATAATTATAATTAACTTCTATTTAGAGCATTTGAATTACTTTTAAAGATTACATTTATTACTGCAGCTATCAAAACATGACGAAAGTGATGAATGTGAGAACTCGTGCACCAGTTTATAAATGGGTCATTCTGATTGAAATTATTAATTGTTATGACTAATTTAATGACCTGATCATTGTAATGACCATTGGAATTATTTGTAACTATGGCCTAACTAACCTATCATTTATATTTCTATAGAGACTCCTTTTCACTACTGATTGATGTAGAACCAGACAACTACACAACGGCAAACAAACCTTATGCATCTAACAATCTGATTTCTGTTATCAACTCATGTGAATTAAATGATGAACTTCTGGAGAAAAGTAACGATATATCACAGTTGAAAATGTCTTGCTCACTGGATCATGCTTATTTCAGTGGGAACTCACAACTCTTTCAAGTGTCTTTGTCAGCAAATCAGTGTAATTCCTGATAGTTTCATTTTTATTTCACAATTTTTTTTAATAAAATTATTATTTTGTTTTAATTTTTATCAAAATTTTGATTTTTATTTTTAAATTCAAGCATTGCAAATAATTATATTTTTAGAATTTTTAGAATATCTCAGAAAATACGGTTGCATGTACATTTTATTTAATTGCTCATTTGCTTGCTGAAAAAATATTAAAAACCTCAACTGGTAACGGAAATTAAATATTAATAATTTATTTTTGTAATAAATCGCCTCCACTACATATGGTGATTTTTCTATCCTTCGTATTGCCACAACCTGAACTAATTGATTGAACATTAACTGTTGAGGATTTGCAATTCTTCTTGCTCCCTCCGTGATGAAATCTCTTCCACCACGCTGCTTAGATAGCTGTGAAATTCTTTTCTTATGAAGTCAGCATCATCACTTGTGTTTATTGTAATTGTGTTCATGTTGGAAATTCTTTCACCTGTTTAATGAATGTGTAATATTTTAGGAATTTCTGGAAACAACCAACTAATTTGGTCATCTTTATTTAATAAGGTATGGGATCAAGTGGTTCTAAAAACCAATGATCATTAGAATGGCTGTAGTAATCCCAGGTTTGCTAGGTGGCTTGCTTGCTGTTTCAAACTAGATCGCTGTTTTGGACCTACTTACATTTATCATGAATTTCTGCAGCATGTTTTGAAAAATTTTAATGTCAATCAATACCAGATTCTTATTGCCAGGCTGCATAAAACAAATTGTTCTCTAATCTTTCAATAGTAAAGTTAAGTGTTTCATAACTATATAGGTGGCATTTTATACTGTCTTCTCAAGTAGAATATTTAAAATTTTCAAACTGGGTAACCTAAATCGTTTTTACTGCGCCTGTTGATGCTGTGGTTGCTTTCTCTCAGGTATTGAAATATGACACACTGTCTTTCGCGAAGTCCTTGTTGTTCTATGAAGTAATCGTACCTTGCGTTGGTCGGAACATATATTCAAATTAAAAAACTTAAGATGAAGGAAATAAGAAAACTACCAGTAATTGAGTTCGTTAGGATTAACATTGGAATAATCATACACAAGTAGTATTCCTTGGCAGTTATTTGCCATGGCAGGCCAGCATGATGAATATCTGAGATTGGTGGATGATTGATAAATAATGTAAATATACAACATTACATACACATTAAGTGATGTTCAGAAAATAACTTTGTGTCTCCACTGCAGTCCCACAATTCTACATCCACTTTTGTCACTTTGTCATCAACTTGGAGATTGGGAACTTCAAACTCCAATATGCGACATCCTTTCGTAGCTTTATAAATTGGCTCCTGTTGTAAGCTGGTAACTTCGGATAATAAATTTGATAGGGCTGTTTTGCCTGACTAAATTAATACAATAAATATGCATTCTTTCGGTTTACCAAGTTTGCTAAACGTTACTTAAAAATTATACTTAGAAATTAAAATAATGAATTGAATCAATATCAATTCATAATGATTGATTCAATCAAATCAAATGAATGATATTGAAAATTGAAATAAATATGAAATCGGAATGGTCATTTGTTTGATGATGTGCAGTGTTATATTTATATCGGTGAAAATGAATTTGATAATTTTTGGGCGACTTACGAACTTTAGACGGGCCGACCACAACGAGTTTAATTTTCATAATTTCTATTGGGGAACCATTTACCACATCATTTTAATAATTTATATAATGTTATCTTTTATTTCTTCAATCTCTATGACAACCATTGTCATACATTATATAGCACTTTCTTCATTCAAGCTTGTTCAAACAATCCTATCCATGCATATAGAATAAAATCTTATGTTCCAGCGCAAATTTTGGTGAGACGTTCAAAGAATCAAAAAATTGTGCAGTGAAATTTAATTATAATAAAACTATGTGTTAAATTGATGTATTACATCAAAATCAGACACACACGTACGCCCCAAAAACTGCGTCAACAGCAGTGCACGCGTTTGAACCCAGTAACGAGACAACGCATCAAACATTGCAGATGATCGGTTACAATTCGCCAACGATCTACAACAAAAAAGTTACAAGAATCAAGTTTTGGTTTGATTCATTTATTTCTGTTTCATTCAAATTTTTTTTTTGTACATTTGATTCTCATACCAATAAGAAAATTAGCAAAGACTTATTTACTTAGTCACATTCAAATCATCAATTATTTTTAAAACAGTGTATTGAGAATTTGTATATGAGATCTTAAAATAAGGTTCTGGTTCAGACAGCAGAAGTTCACAAATAGGTTCATTATCTTGGTTAACGACGTCCTCAACATCCCATATCTCAGCCAAGCTACAGTTTTGCCTGCCAATGTAAAAATAAACATTGTAAAAAAGTAAAAATCCAAAACTGAGTTTCGAAAATGCGTGAAACAAAAAATTTGAAAAATTTTTATCTTATAAAATGAGAATCAACGAATGTAACTTGATTTCTACTATTAAAACAAATTTAAATGAATTCTGATTCTAATAGGAATAAAATAAATTTCCATTTATTTCAACGTTCAAAAAAATGAAATATTCTTGCCTGGATCTCCCTCTGCACCAGACAGGTTCAACGAGAGCATAATGAGCACCCATCGTTTTCATGGCCTTCCATACATCGGCTAATGGTTTCCTGCTATACATGTTGTACACTGACTTTGTCCTGCTCCTAATGTTTGTTCACCTTTCGAATTAACTTAAAACAAATCACGAAAATGAGAAAAAGCAAAAACATTAAATAAAAATGAAATGAACTGCATACCAGTAGCCAAACACAAACAAAAGTTTGATGTAACCTCAACTTAGCATTTTCATAGTGTGGATGGTTGACTATGAACCTTCCTGTAGACAACCGCACAGCAGACATACTTGGCATGGACCCAGCAAACACTGCATCTTAAATTTTTTTAATTCTTAATATCGTTTATAGTCTTATTTTAAAAGTATCATTGAAGTAATCACAGTAAATAACAAATATATCTCAACAAATTAACCTATATGTACAAAAAATTCTAACCAATCATTTTCTTTCTGAGAAAACAAAAAAAAATAAATAAAATGTTAAACAGAAAAACGAAATGTTGTAAAAAATTAAGAACAAGACAAAATAGATTAAAAACCAAACCAACTATATTCAGTGTTATGATTGATCCATTGTACCATCCTCTCAGTACCGACGTCATCAAACTGACCCTGAACAGATAATTGAAACTGGACATTGGACACGCCTTGGTATGAAGCGAAACTCATGATAGCTATCATCAGCGAGATTTTAAAGTATGGCGTTTTGACTGGCAGCCTGAAACACTGTAACCAACATATAATGGTGTATATCGGTATTATTATTATTATTATTAAGAAACATTTATTAAGCGCTTATTAAACAATTTCATAAGCGTTCTCTCAAAAACAAAACAAAATGTTATATGTGACTGTTCATAAAACGAAAATCAAAGTAACAAATTTTACAATTTCACAGAAAATAAAAATGTCTTTAGTTCTTTTTTAAATAAATCCAGAGAAGTTCCCGATCTTCTTAACATAGGTGGAAGGTTATTCCAAACAGAGGGACCAGCCACGGCAATGTCCCTAGAACCAATTTGCAAACGCGTGACTGGCACCCTTAGCAGATTCAAATCATCCGACCTGAGATAGGAAGATGATGCTGTTTGTTTTCTGGTAAATTTATTTTTCATGAATTCAGGTGACATGTCATTTATAGACTTGAACATGAGAACTGCAATTTTAAAGACTATCCTTTTGTTAATTGTCAACCAGTGTAGTTCATTCAAAATCGGTGTCACGTGATCATACTTCAAACCACCAGCAACGAGTTTTGCAGCTCTGTTCTGCACCGACTGAAGGACGGCAACTGATGATTCCGGCAATTTGTAGAACAAACTGTTGCAGTAGTCCAAACGAGATGTAATGAAGGCGTGGACCAACGTTTCCAAAGTAGGTCTATCCAACGAATGTCGAATTTTATACATGCTTCTAAGGTGGATAAGACTTGATGTACAGATCTTTTTGATGTGATTTTTCATTGATAACTTGTTGTCAAGCAAAACACCCAGCTAATGGTATATCAACATCTCCTATTTTAACAGAACTAAAATCAATTTTCAGCAATTGCTGCCACGTTCCAACCGGAAGTAATTGAGTTTTGCATTCGTTTAGTTTTAACGAGTTTGATGACATCCAACGTCCTACCTCTGATAAACATCCGATAAATCTCTCAACTTCAGTTTTGAACAAACAAGGAGAACTAGTAACCAGCACCTGAATATCATCTGCAAATGCATGGCAGACATATCCGTAGGAGCTGATTATTTTGGTAATTTCCGACGTGTACAGGAGTAAAAGAACGGGTCCCAAAACTGAGCCTTGAGGTAACCCTGACGTTATGATGGAAACCTCTGATACTGAGTCATTAAATGAAATCTGTTGTGTCCGATTTGATAAGTATGATTCAAACCATCTATATACATTATTCGTTACCCCGTAATTTTGACGCAGTTTTGCCAGAAGAACATCATGGTTGACGCAGTCGAACGCTGCCGACATATCCAAAAACGATAGTAATGATATTCTCTGAGCATCTGCAGCGGCGAATAAACTTGATAGGACATTCAATAATGCAGTTTCGGTTGAATGAAACTTCCTGTATCCTGATTGATTGAGAGGCATTAAATTGTTTTCTGTTAGATGACTCAACAAAAACTTGAGAACAACGCGCTCCATGATCTTTGAGATAAACAGAAGGTTGGATATCGGCCTGTAGCTTGCAACATCGTTGACATCACCATTGGCTTTTTTTAAAATCGGTAATATGTATGCATGTATGTATGTATGAGTGTATGTATGTATGTATGTATGTATGTATGTATGTATGTATGTATGTATGTATGTATGTATGTATGTATGTATGTATGTATGTATGTATAGTTAGTAAAACGAAGTTACGTTAAGTATATCATTACACATAAAACAAGAAGCTATAACAGCACACACACACACACCTTATCCGATGCGAGCAATGAGATGAGAGCACACATGTGTGGCACCATGAACAACTTCAACCTCATCACCAAGACGGCCATGATCACAAACGACAACAGCTGCAAAGACATGTAGTGTACCTGGGTAATCAGTATATATCAGAGGTTGTAACACACAACTGCTGTACATATCATGGTATTATTGTATATATGGTGTGGTAGCGTACATAGTAAGTACTGCCGCGCACATATGGTACATTCTTGTTTGTAAACAGTATTTTTATAAATAGGATTGCTAGTTATGATAAGTTATACACAGCCACACGCACATGCGCGCACACACTTCTACACGTTGTTGTTATGTAGACAGTTATTCACATTTTAATAATGTCATTTGTGACATTTTGTTAAACAAAATTAAAATCAAATTCGTTATACAAAATAAAAAATAATATTAACAACGCCGATACAGACGTGGGAATCATCGTTAACACCCCCCTCATCATCTTCCTCCCTATCTCCCTCATCTACATTTGACTGCTTACAACAATTTCCAACTTTCTCTTGGCTGTTACCTCGTCCAGTGCACAAACTGCCAATCCTGTCAGAAACCCTAACGTTTCAAAAAATCATCAAAATTATCTAATCCCAATATATATTATAGGCAGAAATATTTAAATGAAATAAGATCTTACTTCAACTGTGATCTTTTGATGTTGATGTAAATTTTTTGGAAAAGTTGGAAACAGAGTTTGAGGAAAATTAAAAGTGCCAACCAGAGCAGGCCAGTTTTGGAGATCTCAACGAACGTCTTGGGATCATGCAGAAGCCATAGTAAATGTGACAAATTCAGTGAAATAATCGTAGATTGTTGAAATCATGGAATAACTTCTTTATTCAAAAACTCGATTAATTCGTGAAATAATGCACAGAATGATTTGTGAATTAATCATAACTATCATATCATATCATAATTATAATGGATAAAGAAATGGAATGATTCAATCTAGAGATACACTCACTAATCTATAAATCAATCAACCAGGCAAGTAACTAATCAATTTATTCATTAGCCTAAGCATTCTTTCAGCCAAATGATAAAACACCAATGAATCAATTATTCGTCCTAAGTTAATCAATCAATCAGTCAATTAATTATTGATTAAATCATTCCATAATTCATCCATTCATTTATTCATTCAATCGTTCAATTAATTAACCTACCCTTAACTCAATGAAATCAAACTCAGCGGCACATGTGTACAGTTTGGTGTGGAATGTTTGGAAATGGAGAAACTTACTCTTCAACAGATCCATTATATGACCCTAAAATACAGCAACGTGTGTTAATTAATACCGAAATTTTCATAGCCAAATTATAAATTTCTTTTACAACGAAACTATAGAGACAATATCTATATCATTCTATATCATCCTATATCATTCAATAGCATTGTATATCATTCAATATCATTGTATATCATTGTATCATCCATCTATCAACGTCATTTTCAAACAGTAAAATGAGATGATGAAGGATGTATACACATTCAACAGGAAACGAACGTCATCATCAGCGTTCAGGAGCACTGAGAGTGTTGATTTCATCACAACGCAGCTTAAAATGTACACCGGTAGAAATATCTGAAGATTATAAATTAAATAATTAATTAACCAATTAATTAATTAATTAACTACTTAAATAATTAATTAGTCGATTAATAATTAATGAATAAATCAATCAGCCAGCCAGCCAGACTTTGTATAGACAAAAAAAAACAGTATTACAGTTAACTAAAGTTAATTTAAGAAATTTCAAAAACGGTCGAAATAAATGACAGAGTTACTAAAAAGAATCCAGCCGGCTTACAAAATGCCAGAGCTTGAGAGAAGATTTGAAGTAATGTTCCTTGACGTTTATGAAGGTCTGAAATTAAAGATAAATAAATAAAATAAACGTTAAGTTTAAAAAACGAAAGATGAAACGAATGTAGAACGACACACACAAGAACATTTAATTAGATATTTTTTGGAAAATTAATGAAATGAAAATATGGAGAAACAAACTCTGAAGCTTACCAGAATAAATATAGTGCTAGAAAACAAGAAGGAACATAGAAGCATTGAGTTGAAGAACTGGAGAAGACTGCACACAAACAATCCTATCTTTATGACATATTAATTCAATTTATTCTTTATATAATAATTAAAATATGTAAATAAAATGCGTATTAAATACTTAATTTACATTGAAAGTATAATATATAAATAACCTAAGTAAACAAAAAGTTCATTGACCAATGCATTACTTCAAATCACTCAAACCAATACTAAAATACATAAATGTTCAAAAAATTTTAAAAATTGTTAAAACACACACACACACGCACGTCCACATAGAGATGAAAAAATTAATATAAACATGGACTTACAAAATGTGCTAACGCTATGCATCTGATCTGACACATGTGCACAATGTTGCACAAGTACAACAGAAATACGATGGATGATTGAGTTAGTAACACAAACTGACTAAACTATAAAGAAACATTCTTGTCTAGTTTTAACTTTATTTATAACTTTATTATTTAATAATTATTTAATTAAGTAATAATTATTTATTACCGTAATATAACATACTTTAAAATGTGCATTTTAAACGGAGATATAGTAATTAATTAACAATTAAATAATTAAAACAATCATGTTGAATTAGTTGAATTAGCAGAATATTTTTTTTACAAACTTCATTACTAACTTGCCACGACAGAAGAAAGGTCAAAGTTGTGACAGTGAAGGTTACTTTCAGTACCATCGACGGATGCCTAGTTCTAAGAAGCAAAAGAACAAAATAGGAAAACTTTATTTATTTATTTATTTAAATTAATAAATGAATAATAATTATAATATATAATTATAATAATAATAATAATAAATGAATAAATTTGAAAAAGAACAGTATTGCTGCTACATAGTTATATCGTCACACACACACACACACACACACACACACACACACACACACACACACACACACACACACACACACACAAACACACACACACAAACACACACACACACAGACAAATCTACAAACTTCAAAACAATGAGAGTCAGCAAGAGATGAGCAAGCCAGCATGGAAAGCCAAAACATTCCCTTAACGTTGGAGTCAGATACACCCTTGTGCTCTAACAAAAAATAAATAACACTTTGAAGTAAAATAAAATTAGATGGATTGAAAGTAAGCGAATGAATGAATGAACGAATGAAAGAATGAATGAATGAAAAAATGAATAAAAATAAAACAACAAGGTGGTAAATGAATGAATGAATAACAATAAAATATGGCTATATGAATAAAAAAATTAATTTCAATTTCAGAAATCACTGGAACAACGTTATGACCTCTGCGTGGTTGTAGAAGAACATCAGGACGCTGATCAATCCACCAATTAAACTGCCATCACTGAAATAATCATAATTATCATAATCAACGCTTGTCATCATCATTATCCTCGCCGACAAAAAGTTATCACCATCCATCAACCAATGAGATGCTACAAATGGACCTGATGTAGAGAGCCAACAGAAAGATCATTCCAACCATCAATCCATTCCACGTGAACACACACTCCAGGTAGAAGTATACGGGCTCACCTATTCCTGTTCAAATGAAAGAATGAATGAATGAATAAGTAAATAAAGAAATAAATGAATGAATGAATTAACAATGAATGAAAGAGTGAATGGATGGATTTATGAACAAATGATTGAATAAACGAATGAAACATTTGATAAATTACTACTATATTTACTTAACAAACAAAAATATTGAAGATGTCCATCATAAATAATATTTTCAATTTTCAAAAAATTTTGACATACATGCAAATTTACCTACAATAAATAAACATGCACCAAGCAATCATACATGCATACATACTTTGTGGAATAAGGAATGACAAAAATTTTAAAGAATTCTAAAATTAAAAAATCTTATAATTACCCTCACAACTAGTCACAGAGCCAAGGTCACGACCTCTGTTGACCTTGTAACAGATTCTTGAGGGTAAGTTCAAGGTCGAATAAATACTTCTGGTGAATCGATAGAGTGATGCTATCACAACCTAGCATGTTTGTAATGTTGATGATAGCTTTACGAAAAGTTTACAAATACATTTAAAAGTTATAAGTTTAAAGAAAAATGACACTTTTGAATAAAAAAAATTAAATTTACTCAAATTCATAACTCAAAAACATATTCAACTTATTAAATCACAAAAATTTAGTTAAAATACCAGTCAACAATGATAAAAAGTACTATTACAAATACTGTGTATTTATACCTCAGGATATATATTGAACCTTTGCAGTGCATTTATAACATCAGGGTATTCGATGCTTGAGTCATTAGTCAATTTTTTCAACCCATCAATGAGTGATGTTTCATTTATTAAATTCTTGTAAAATGAATAGTAGAAGCCCTTGAATTATAGAAAAAATTTGATTTAGTTTTATGTAAAATTTAGATTGTAATAAGTTTTTCTAAGGAGATTATATACTCATTACTTATTTAACTTATAATACAAATTTAAATTTATACATAACATAACACAACATAACATAAGGAAGGATCATAGTGGTTCAGTAGATATCTCTGTGTGAGAACCACTGGGATCGATTTTGATTAATAATATGGATTTAAAATCCCAATCTTCCAAGTCTGACTTTGAACTTCTGCGTTTTTTCGACCAGCTTATTCCAATGTTCAATAACTCTCGGACTGAAAAATATTCCTTTTACTGTCCCTACTCTTTCTTTTAAAAGCTTGAATTAGTGTTCTCTTGTTGTGCTACTATTATCTGTAAATTGGAAGAATAAGGATGAATCTATCTCATATTTACCCATTATGATTTTGTACGCCTGAATGAGATTTCTTGTGCTATTTCTTCTCTTCTAGTCCTATGTTTGTCCAAAGTTGTCAGCCCACATCTCTTCAGTCTTTCCTCTTGTGAAAGTAATAATATAGTAATGCCAAGGTAATAATGATTACTAAATCAAGTTTGAACATTTTTTAATGAAATAAAAATTAATGATTAGTAGATGAGAAGAAATTGATAGCACCTACAGCTTCTGATTTAAATGATATCTCCCTCTCCAACTCCGACAGATGTGAAAAAAAATATTCATTCTCAAATAAATGGCTGAGATAAAACCTAAAGAGATTATGGAAAAAAATCTCAATCTACTGAATAAAAAAAGTAAAAAATGACAAAAATTAAATTGAATTAATATTTAAAAATGGTAATTTTAATATAACATTGTTATAATATAATTGTAATAATAATAATTAATTATTACATACCTGTGTGAAATTGATATTAAACAGGCTGAAAAATTAAAAATTTATTAGTTTAATTATTATTTTAATTGCCATATTTATTATATTGTGTATTTTTAAATTATTTAATTTTTGTAAGACATTATTAAGGAATGAATGTCATTTTGCTTTTTCTTGACAATCCTACTCTTCTCTTTCTTGTTACTTCATAAGCCTTATCTAGGATTATTTATTAAAACTCGCTCTAGTATCGCCTTTCTGATTCTACACTCTATCCTTTAAGTAAAGCTTTTAACTCTGCTGATCGTCTAGTTGCTCCTGCCTCTTTTCTTTCATAAATCTCCACATCTTGTTCTCTTGCACTTCCTACCTATAAATTATAGAACAATTTTAAAATTTGCACATTTATGTATATGTCTTAATCTAAATTATTTCCTAAGTACTTATCGGATATATTAATTAATTAATTAACCTATCAAATGCTCTGGTTTATTATAGTTTTCTGGTTCCCACTTCTTAACTCCTGTTAAACACTTCTTTGCTAAATCTGTATTTGCTTTTTCTGACTTTTTTCTATGGAACTATCTCCTTCTCTGACTGTTACGCTAGCACTTACAATGTCCAGAGTAGATCTCAAAACCCATCTGTCTACAAAATTCTTTAGGAGTGCTATTGAACATCACGGGAATATATTTTAATAACAAAATTAACTAAATAAACATTATTCAATTAATTATAAATTTTTTATAAAATTATTAAATAAAAATATTACCACCCAAAGTTATAAAAAGGGCAAATTTTTTCACACATATTTTCTCACATGATGCATTTTTCATTTTATTCATCAACTGCTAAAATCAATCAAACTAAATTAAATCTTTCTTATGAATGACTAATCTAATGATGATGGTGAAATATTGTTAATAACTTACTTCTTACATAAATAAAATAATTAATAAATATAATATTTTTGTGGTTTATGGTTATTTATTTATTAATATTAATTATATCTGATATCATTAATTTTATTTATTTAATATTTGCTTTGATGATTTTTTGTGTGAATACTGATATGTAATAAAATGTAGTTTAATAAAAAATGTAATCTTGTTTTGTGTGTTGTGTCACATCACTGATCATTTTTTATAAGAGTGATCAAAAAAAATTTATAATGATTATAAAAAATACGAAAACTACGAGCTAGTGTTTAGAAAATCTGACGTGCGTCTTTAAAATTCAATTAAATGATCTTTTAAAAGCATTTGTAGGCAATAGTATAAGATAAAACGACCAGAACGATAATTAAGAACCACAAAAATGAAAAAATTATTAATTAAAAATAGACGCTGCTATTTACATAGGTAAAATATTCAAAAATTGGGCAGACAATTTCACAATTGCATTCTCGTAACATTATTATAAATGATTACGTAGTTTCAATTCTTAAGCTATGAATATGAAAGAATGAAAATTCTGATAATCATTTTAAGTAAAAAAATCATTAGTATCTCAGTGCACAAATACATAATTTTCAAGATATACTAATGAATTAAATTTGAGTAGTGCCTAGTGGTTATCTTTATTGTGTAAATTTAACTTTTTAAGGATGGAATCCATATTATTCCGGACTTAACATTTAAAGGAAAAAATTTGGGAATTACCAAAGCATCTGCTAATAGAAACAAACAGCATGCAGCAACCTGTCTGATACATACATACATACATACATACATACATACATACATACATACATACATACATACATACATACATACATACATACATACATACATACATACATACATACATACATACATACATACATACATACATACATACATACATACATACATACATACATAACATACATACATACATACATACATACATACATACATACATACATACATACATACATACATACATACATACATACATACTTACGTATATACCTACATATATACATACATATATCAATACATATTACATACATACATACACTCATACATACATACATACATACATACATACATCCATACATACATGCACACACACACACACACACACACGCACACACACACACACACACACACACACACACACATATATATATATATATATATATATATATATATATATACATATATATATAGATACATGCAACATATATTGATAGGATTGCTGGAATGAGATCAGACGACACAGGAGTACATTTGAACATTTTATGATAATATCATGCATTCAATTGACAATTAAAGATTTTTATTACTATTTCTTAAAATTTTGTATATTTACTGTTTAGTAAATAAAATAATTGTTACGGGAGGGATAATATTCAATACAAAGTTGCAAAAATATTTTATTATAATTTTAATATCCAGCAAAAATGGCTGTGAACGGCAGCTTAGGATCAGACTGTTTCAAATTCAACTTCGCAATCGTATCTCGAATCTCAAAAACTTTTGTAGACAGTTCCACGTTTCCTCTGCGCGATGGCCAGACAATAAACCTGGAGAAGGCTCGCAAGGAGCACGAAGACCTGGTCGAGGCCCTGCGCCGGGTGGGTCTCGATGTCATCGAACTACCGACAGACGATAACAACCCGGATGGAATATTTGTCGGAGATATCGCCGTCGTCATCAATGGCACCGCCCTGATGTGCAATCCACCCACGATCAAGGATAAGCCGACCAGGCAACGAGAAGTAGGTGCAAATTTTATCATGTTTATTTAAAAATTTTGTTTCATATATTCCATTTGTACATTTTCCTTGAAATACAATAGCTTTTTTGCGATTGATTTGTCTACATTTAAACTTTGTCATTTGTTAATGAGCAATATTAGTGATTTAATTGCTTGGTAAGGTGATTTTTTATAGATAGAGTGGGTGGGTGATAGACATGAGATATGGATAGGCTTATGCAACAACACTTTCGAAATAAAAGGATGACGGATTACTGTTTGTTTTCAACTGTGTATCTAAATGCATTGCTTCAACACGATGTAGAACATTGATTTTTGTTTGTCTACCTGTAGGCTCTTCTGCGTTACATCATTTGAGTGAACCAATGTTTGTGTATCATAAAGTAATAAATTATCCAATTATTAATATAATCTAATCTAATATAATATGATAAAATATATAATAAATTTTAGTATTTTTAAATCGTCCATTAATATTATAAAGAAGCGTTCTATCCACGAACATTAGCACGTCATTTCAACTGAAGGATCTGCGATACCTGCAAGATTAGGAGCATAAATTTAGGTACGCTTTGCCCGTTACACTTACAAATGATACAAGGTCGGTGCTTATCTGTTCAACATCACACGCATAACGTTCTTTCGTTCGTTCGTTCGTTCGTTCATTCGTTCGTTCGTTCGTTCATTCGTTCGTTCATTCGTTCGTTCGTTACTACATCAATTAATAAAACTGATAAAAAGTATTTAACGTGGATGGATGCTTTACTAGCACTAAATTTATCAACTAATAAAGCATGGTTAAGGCCGTAGATATGTAATAGTAATGGCGTAATATAAAAAGGTGCTGTATATTAAAAACTATTTATGGGTGACATTGAAGAATTTCAAACAGTTCAATAAATCTATCAAATAAATTTTTTTCATAACTGACTATCAAAAAAACGAGTTGAATTTATAAAAATAACGAGGCAAGTTTGCATTATACAGATACAATACAACATTTCCATGTTTGATTCTTATATACAAACATTACAATGAATTTATACATGTATACATAAATATAATGTATCGTGATATATGATATACAAACTTATGCATCAATACAAAACTATAAATTCTTCGACAGTTAAATAAGTATCCATTCTTAAATCAGCCAGGAAAAGGCATATAAACTAACACATTGATAACCATTATCTATTGACTCGTATCTGTTATTTATTTCTTTGCTCATTTTTTGTATCCATTATTTATTTCTTTGTTTATTTTGTCTTTGTATGAATGTTATTCACTCCGATTAACTAATCAAGTACCTTCATTTATTCGAGTACCGAGTAAATTACTCGATCTTACAACGAGTGTTATTCTAGAAAGTATAATTAAATTAAAAACGTAATATAGATGCAGGCATATACACAACACATTGCACAAAAAGATGTATAGTAAATATTAATCTATTTATTTTTATTTATACATAATAATTTCATTTGTTCTTTCATTCATTCATCCAGCTAGTCATCCATCCATCCATCAATTTATTCACTCATTCGTCCATTCGTTCGTTCCTTTGTTCATATGTTCTTATGTCTAATTTATTTATTTGTTTGCTTATTTATTTATCACCCAGTAATATTTAAACAATTTATATGGTGGATATTTTTCATCGGAACATTGTTCGAAACAGACGTTTGTTGTGCATAAACTTCTACGCTATATGTGATGTGATTCATAGCAATTACTTATAACACAATCAAACATAAACAACAACAGAACCAACAACAACAACAGAACCAACAATTAAACAACAACGTAAACATAAACAACAATTAAACATAGCTGGTTGTGGTCCGCCAAGTGTTGAGGAAAGAGTTGGGTCTGAAGGTTATAGAGGTTGAAACTGAGAAGGCCATCATTGAGGGAGGTGATGTGCTGTGGACAGGTCAGTCAGCCAGCTCAATACATTATCATGAATAACATAATTTATTACATAGTTTTTTACTTGGGGCAATATTATAATTTACATAATGTAATACATATTCATATAACTTCATTTATTACATAGTTTGATACTCGACCTGTTGTCATAATCTACACAATTTTATTTCATTGTCATTATTGTTTGCAGCAAAGCGTGAATCTTACAACAATAAATAAATCTTTATTGTTTAGTTGACTATTTTACCGATAATTCTGTGACGAGCTATTTTTTGATCCTAATTAGTTATGAATTATAACAACACTGAATTAAAATGAAAATAATTTCTTGCCAAATATAAAACAATTTCTTGAATCATTCCCTTCTACAAAAGGTCGCGAGATTTTCGTGGGCCTATCAGAAAGAACGAACTTGTTAGGGGCCCAAATGGTTGCGAAGGCATTCCCTGAGTACCCCACCACCGTCGTGAAGGTCTACCCACCTGCCTTCCACTTGAAGGATTACATTGGCATGGCTGGTCCCGAGATCATGGTCATCGGAAAAAGTGATGGCGCCCAGAAGACTTTTGCTGTGAGTTCATTGGTCATCAGGCCCGCATGGGTCACGTGGGAAATGAACTGACGATGAATGTTTGGTCGAGTGAATCTCGATTATTAGAATATGAATTAGAATGTTAATAACATTATGTTATTCACTGATTGCATGTGCTTGCTAAGGAGGTAACCTTGAACACTTGATTTTAAAACAAAATACGCTTGGTTTTTTTACGAATAACTAAGCATCATTCTGCTAAGAGACCAGCTTTTTTTCAGCAATGTTTGTAATGTAAATAAACCAGAATGCTCAGTAATTACATTTCCGCTAAAGTTTTTTATTTATTGTTTGTGATAGTATTTTTTTTATTGTTATCAATATTATTGTTATCATCCATTTTTCCACTCAAACGCCCGACAAACAAATCCAGGAAATACGAAACTCGGGAGCGATAGGATACAAATACATAAGCGTGGATGAGGACGAAGCTGCTAACGTCATCTACGTCAACCGGACACTACTACACCTCAATCAAGATCAGATACCGAAAGGAGCGGCTGTAAGTACTACTACTCAGTAATTTTACTGTTGACTGGTCGGTAGCATCATTGTTTCTGTGCTGGCAATGATTGTGGTATTTAACATCGTCCGTTGTTTATCAAATTTGTTTGTTTGAGCAGCGAGCTATCAGTGTTGCTTTAATAACAATTGTGTTAACATCGTCGTCGTCATCATCATAATAATCCTAGTTATCATCACTATCAACATCTTCGTCATCATCATCAACAACATTATCATCATCAACGACATCATCATCATCAACATCATCATCATCGACATAACGACATCATCATCAAGGTTTACTTAAACAAGATCGATTTCTCTCGCGTGTCGATAAAGATGGAAGAGCCATTAAAAAGAGGTTGTTCGCTGACCAACTGCATCCTGTTGGTCAACAGAGTGAGGCATCCAAAAAAAATCCCGACCACCGTCCAATGAAAAATCAAATGATGATGCAATCTCTTTTCTGATTGGATGTCTAAATTTTTTAAATTGCCTAATTGTATGGTTGGTTGATTGGTTGGTTTGATTGGTTGGTTAGTTGGTTGGTTGGTTGGTTGGTTAGTTGGTTGGTTGGCTGGTTGTGGGATTGGTTGACAGCTTTTGTAAATATTGTTTGATTGGCTGATTAGTTGACAATCGGTTGAAAAGCATCTGATAGAAATTAAATAGATAGAAATAAGAAATAAATTGAAAGAAAAAAAGGGAATAAAATAGAATAAAAGAAAGGAAACAAGAGAAAACAACAAACACACAAACTCAAATAATTTAAAAAATTTTCACTGCAGCCATTTTTTCTCCATTCTGAATAATCCCGATTAATTTTTTTCACTACAAAAACTTATTTAAAAAAATAAAATGTTTTCAATTACGATAATTATATAATATCATATATTTTCACATAATTTTACTTTTAATACATTTTATTCCACATGATTCATTTCATATTGTATTACAACAAGTCTACGATGATTCCATGCTAATATATTCAGAATCTGTATGAGCCATTTTGAGTTCTGGTGGTTCGTATTTCATTTTAATGTGGATACTATAAAAGCCTCTTCTTGGAGAGCCCTTAAACTTTGAGGTTCATGCCAAATAGCCCCCTCATGGCTTGCCCTTCTATCTACATGGACCCGTTTATTTTAATATTAATAAATAGTATATACACGGTTTGATCGTTTAAAATGTTTCTAAATTTACATATAGACATACCGCGAATATATAAACATTAACATTAAAGACGACACAAACACACACACACACATACATACATACGCAAATATACACACACACATACATACATACACACACATACACACACACACACACGTGCGTTTATTATTTATATGTATGTAAGTGTGTGTATATATTGTATATATTATAGTTATATATATATATAGCCAACATACATATATATATATATATATATATATAGTATATACTCTATATATATAGCCAACATATAATAAATGTATAAATGTTTGTATGTGTATTAAACTTTTGTATATGTGAATATTTAAATCCATGCTGCTTTACTATTCGCGATAGCATAACTTTTTTGTTACATGGTTGCGATATGTTAACATTGTTTTACGTTACCTTACATTAAAAATTACATTAAGTGGCATCAAGTTTCGCATAATTTTTAAACTCTATTCGTTGATACTAAGGAAACACACGTTCCATATTATTATTTTGGTGTCATTTTAATGGTAATTTATAATCAACATCACATACATACCACAGGAATAAACCTGTTAAAAATCCCATTCCATTACATTATATCACCTTACATTACATGCATTACATGTATTACAATTAATTAGGTTTATTAGTTTCTCACACTTTTGCAAATTTTCTTCCTAAAAATTTTGTAATAATTAATGTACGAAAGGGTTAGTTATACGACTGATCGATTGATTGATGAATGAGTTGATGAGTGAAATGATAAACGAATAAGTGAGTAAATGCGTGAAGTTGGGCATTTTTATTTCCATTTTGAACTAAACCGACAATTCTTTTTCCACTCTGATCGATGTTATTCAATATGATTTGTTCAGATATAAAATTACTCAATTATTTTCTCATTTTTACATTTATCATTTCCACACTTGATTTTATAGACAACTTTTTTAAACTGATTATTTTTGTTGTCAATATTTGTTGAGTATAATAAACACTACGCCACGTCATATATTGAAGATAATCCACCGCTAATTTTACTAACAATTTAATGAAAATTTTAATAGAATTCAATCCAAAATTCTGATTGAAATAGCTGAATTTGACTGTTTCGGTAGGGTAGTTGTTAAGTATTATTATTGAAAGTCGTATTCGTTGCATAAATGTCTTCAAAGAAAAAGTTTGATGCAAGGCCGCTGTACAAGAGAGAATGAAATGATTTGATACTATTTTAAAATAATTATACAAAGAGTAAATATAATGAACCATCAACAATGTCAACTTTTTATGATTGATTTATGATGATAAGTATGTGGTTTAAAATAACCTTTGAGTCCAAAAAAAGTGTTCCAAGTTCTATTTTTTTTAATTACATCATTTTCTGATACTAATACAAAAGTAATATTTTTATTATCAATGAAACACACACACACACAGACACAGAGAGAGGCTTATATTTTAATCATCATTTGTATCTTTATATTGTTGCATTTATACAAAGCTTTGCTGTGTTCACCTGTCATATGATGGAGTTTGGTCTGTATATGATTTTCATGGATATATATGCCGTTTTAAGAAATATTATTTTAATTATAAAAATAGTTAAATATGATAAATTATTTGTGTATTTAAGAATAATTTTGGTACTGTCTTTTTTCATCTATATTTTCTCTTCTATTTTTAGCTGTTACAATTAAGTATTATATGTATTATTATTATAATTGAATAATTTATATTCTATCTAAATATAAATACCAAAGATAATGTAATTGCAAACTTGCATGCGCATAGCATACTTAGGTTCAATAATTAATATGTTAAATTATTTGTCGCTTTCTATATCTATCAATTTCTAAAACTGCTGTCCTCATTTAGGATCTGATTTTAACAACTATTTTGTAGAACCTTTCGAAAAATTTCTGAGACTCTATAACAATGATTGAATGGATATAAATATATAAGTATTTGTTTAATATATTTTTGTGCAATGTGTAATTAACTTAACACGTGCTGTGAATTTGTAGTTTATGTCTAAGATACCTATACTTAAAAGAATGAATTGTAAAAAAATAAAGGAAATCCTAATTAAATAATAAAAGTAGATGAAGGTTTTTGTCACATTTATTTATTTATAAAAATTTGTAAAATTTTTTCCTTTCTTAAAGATTTTGCCATTTGGCTTATTAATGTTGAAGTTGACACGAGAGGTCTATTATTTATCATTGCTTCAAGTATATTTGTTTCACACTGTCATCTAATCTTAGAATTGTTAATTTTAATCACAGTTTTATAAATCTTTTTTTTTGTTAATTCTCATAAAATTTCAAACCAAAATGTACATGAAAATTGTTAAAATTTAGTACGAAATTAATCTAACGTAACGAAACCAATCAAAACTCAACATCGATTAATTTCATCTCAATATTAAAGACAAATTTTGAGTGACATTGATTTTATTTTGCTAAGGTTTGACAAATTAATGCCTCTTCATACCACATTTAAAATCTCTCTTCTATTCGTTTCGTGATATATACACCATTTGCATTACTTTCTGAATTTATTTAATTTTATTTGTAAATTAATCAAAAAAATAAAGTGAATAAATTCTACAGCTTGTCAAATCTGTTAAAAATATTGTGTTATTTATACATATTACTCTAACAAATTTATTTTATCTGTTTTTCAATTCATCACTCATTTGCATATTTTCGACTTTTAATTAACATTTATCATGTCCAAATTTTAAATTTTTCTCACTAATTCATTAATTTTTTGTTTTTTCTTCAATTTTTTTTTATTTCATCAAAAAACCAGTGGACATTAATCATTTGCTTTGACGCTAATGTATTGAAAAAACGTTGAAACAAACGTCCGGTGGTTGGCTCATTTCACATTTAAAACAATTTAATAATATACCCAACATTAAAATATTTTAAAGTAATAATGAAAAAAGCGATACAGACGATAGAATAATAATAAGAATGATATTAATTAGCCGATATATTAATAGTTATAATAAACATTTTTAAACTGTTAAAAAATTTGAGATTAGAGAAAAACTATGCCACCATCTTAAATGCTCCTTCTAATAAGTTGGGGAAATGACTAAATTTAAAATATGTGAAACTTTAAAATTCAAATTATCTGATATCCCACAAAATCGCCAAAATTATTACAAGTTTTATAAGTTTTTAATTTTTTCTTTCAAAAATGTCACATAGGTAATCTCATCTTGCACGTCATTCATTCGAAATTGTTAAAACAACATTTAGCTGCCTCCATGTCCATATCATAAGGTGAAACAACTAACATTAATCAAAATACATTACTAAACTAAACACACACTAACACACACAAACACACACACTCACACACACGCAGTGACGCAAATACACATGCAATCATTTTCCGGTCAATTGAAAGCAAACAGAAACGATTGAAACTAAATTTTTCCATTGAAAAATTTGTACGTAGATAAAAATTTTTCCTCCGCTGTTGTCATTGTCAATATATCAAAAAAAAACAATTTTACCATGAAAAACAACAAAAAGCAAAACAGATAATGTTGATTGAGGCCTATAATGCTTCAAAATAAAAAAAAACTCTCAATAATAATATCAGTAATAATGATAATAATTGAGATAATAAATAAACTAGTCTAAAAAGTTTGATGAAGTTTGTTGAACACCACTAATCGTTGAGAATGAATAAGTATTGGTTGAGACTGTTGGGACTACTGTGAAAAAATACTTCGCCGTCGGAAAATTGTATCGAGAAGATGCAATGAAAATATTATGATGATGACGAGGATAATGATAATGTTAATAATAATGATGATGACGTTGATAATGATAATGATGATGACGAGACGATGATGATGACGAGACGATGATGTTGATGATGATGCTGACGATGTTAATGATTATAACCATGTTGATGAAGATGATGATGATGATGGTGAAAACAATGACGATGCTGGTTTGGATAATGATGAAGAAAATGATGATGATGATGGTACTGATGATGACGACTTTTATGATGATGATGATGATGATGATACCTCTCACCCACAGTTGAACGTATTTGAAAATTCATCATTCGCTTTTAAGATTCCACCCAGTCTAAAAATTATTAAAAATCAGATTAATTTAAGAAAAAAATATTTAAAGTTATTAAAATAAACAAAACTATTAAAATAATAATAAAGTAAAAGTCAAATTAACAAATTTTGATTGAAAAGAAAACCAAATCAGGACCTTATAATGAGTTCTTGCTGGTCCCTTACGTGCTTTAAACGTGATTGGCCCCGCCTGTCTCCACAATACACCTTTGGACGAAAACTCAACCAAGTTAGGCAGATAACTTATTAAAATTATTATTATAAATATTCAATTAAATTATTATTGCTAAAAATAGCAATTGAAACAATGAAAATTTTTCTTATGAAATAAAAACATGTGTAATTGGGTAATTATTTTTAAAAGTTTCGTTGTTTAATAGCCTCAGTTAAACAATCGCTAAGCATACCTGCCTTTGTTTGATTTGGTCTTTTTTACCGGAATTGTATTAAAACTTTTCCTACTATAGTTCAATTTTTCACAAACTTCAAGTTACTTTTAAAAACTTAATTAGTCTAAAATGTTTGATGAAATTTGTTGAACCGCACTTAAAAATATTTTTAGAAAATTTTTAGGTTGATTGATTGACCGTTTGTTTGATTGATTGATCGTTCGATTGATTGATTGATTGCGTGATTGATTGATTGATTGATTAATTGACTGATTAATTGATTGAATGAATGATTGATTAATTGATTGATTGATTAATAATGTATATAAACAACTAATTCAGCAGCAGTAGCAGTACCAACCTGCATAAACTTGAGGTAAAATTGCTTCCACGTGGGTTGGTTACCGTTCAGCTTGTGTAAGGCGATCCATTTTTTATTGGACTCCAATGCTATTTGTAGGGCGAGATGAATTATGCTTGATTCCTGTTGTGATACCATGGTGATGAAGTGATGATGAAGATGATGCTGGTGTTGAAGTGATAACGACGATGAAGATGAAGTAATAATGATGACGATTGAATGGTGATTGTGTGATGATGAGGGCAATAATAATGTTGAATCTCATGTATAGTTGCTATTCTCATTTATTAATGTGATATATTATAAAAGTAAGTAAAATAATTAAGAAATAAATTAACTAACTAATAAACTAGTTATTCTATTAATTAAAATTAATCAACTTGTTTAGAAAATGGCTAAAATTCATTTATACTCTATTATATACAAACTTATATACCTTGTCTAGCATGGTCGTTTTCTTGCTAATATGTGGAGCTTCATCTGAGATGGTTTGTTTGGAAAATATTTCATTTAATAAACAAAAAAAATTAATTTAATGTATTTATATTAAAAAATTAAGTAATTAATTAATTCTTAGATTAAAAAAATCTTTTCGGAAATAAATAATTTTGACGCTTCAGTCTGGAAGTACCTAAATTGAAAACTTTTCGTAAAATGATTTTTATGTATAAGTCAAGTTTTTATATTTTAATAAATTAATAACTAAGAAATAGAAAAAAAAACAAAATTATTTGTTTCAAATAAACCAAAATTGGGACAAATCTCGAACCCACCATTTACGTTCAACAGATTTCTGATGGCGGTTTGAACCAGCGTATGTCCAAACGAACTGTGGTATGATGATGTTGCGTCAAATAAATTTAAAAAAAGAATAAATTATCAAACTTGAATTTTTTTAAATATGATCGTACGTAATGTTAACCTTGAATTAATTTTGATAAGTTCAAATAAAAGGATTACAAATTTTATTAAGAATATCATTAATTTTTCTGTTTAATATAAAAAAGGATTATTTTCATTTTTATAATGTTAATAAACGAAAAATTTAAATGTTGATTTATAAATAAATGAATCCCAGCCACCCGAATTCAAGGTGCCCAGGTTGTCTGAACTCATCTTGAAGAAGAGCGATAGGAATGGATATCTCGTTGTTCAGCACGTTGTAGACCGGCCTTGTTTCGTATGGGGCAACGTTCCAACTGTGCGTGTGTGTGTGTGCGTGAGTGTGAAACTATGTGTGTATGTGTGTGTGCGTGAGTGTATATGTGCGTGTAACTATATGTGCGTGAGTGCTTTTATGGACTATGGACAAGATATTGCGAGGTTACTACTAAATTTTATTATCAATTTAATTAGTTTGAAGTTGTTAGTCAATGACTGAATTCTTGAAAAAAAAATTTATAACATCATTATAACGAATAATTTGTCATTAAAATTATATGGTAGGTACGTAAGTACATACTCGAATTTTTGGTGCGCTTTATTTTCCAGTTCAGATTTTCTCATCTCAATGTTGTTTATGACGACATCTTGAAACGTCCAATCACTCACCTCTATCTGAAAATATAAAAACGGTATGGTCACCGAGTTAGCTCAATCAGTAAAAGTGCCATGTCTTCTTTTGCTGCTATTACGCGATGGCATCGCTCGAATACTGTCTGTTCGAAACTCAATAACCACCACACTCGTATGATGCCGTGCTTGTGCGTGCATGCATAATGTGTATGCGCGTTGTGTGGTGTGGATGGTGCAGTCTTTATGGCACGGAGGACTAATGCTTTTAACTTTGTCTTAACCTTAGAATACAATTGATCCAGAAAAATAATATCCTGATTGGAAAGGGTAGAAATAATTTTGAATTTCAAGGTTTCAATCTTCTTTTTCATCGTAGCTGTCTTTATTTTTTGCATGTAACTGTTGCTGATGTTAAAAGTAGCGGTGGTATCGTTATATATGTTGTTGTTGTTGTTGGTGGTTGCGTTGTTATTGTTAGTTGTTGCGTTGTTGTTGTTAGCTGGTAGCAGAAATTCACTGAGTAGTGTTTTCTTAATGATATTGAAGAGGCTGGCCACCTGTTTGTTCGTGTTGGTAGTTTCGATTGAAATGTTATTTTTTAATGAAAATTGATAACGATGTTGGCAATAATAATAATAATAACACAACAAAATTGATAATAAACGTTCTTAATAACAAATAAATGATGATTAGGGTGTTATTTTGACAAAACCTTTTCACTATTTATGTTACATCAGGAGTGGGCAAGCTTTTTGCTGTGAGGCCCGCATTGAGAACTAATTTATCTTTGGAGGGCCGGACATGTATTTAAATACCAAATTTTTTGAACTCGGGAGAGAATTTTTTTAAGATTTGTGGTTCCTTTTTGGTCATAATGTCTGGCTGACGATCTTTTTTGGCACAGTTTCGCGGGTCGTAGTTTGCCCACCCCTGTGTTGGATCTAATTAAATGTCATTTAGAACAAGCGTGACAATTAATAATGACAATACGACAGGATGTAAATAACGTTGACAAAAAAAATAACAGAAAATGCGAGATTGCCTCCTGAAACTAACTGAAAACTCGTCTTCAATCGCCAAACTCTTTTCCAAAGCAAACGCACAGCCAACAGCAAACTTATATATCTGGAGAGTTGATGACAGACAGTGGTGTTTCTTATTCAGCGTAGGTCTTCTTGGTAGTTGGATTGGATTGGAAGATGACGACGATGCTGACGACAACGATAAAGATGGCGACGACGACGATGGCAATGATAAGGAATATGCTGCTGATGATGATAGAGGAACAAATGACGATAACTTACGGTAAGTAAGTAACGTAATGAGGTCAACTTTGGTCCTGAATGTATACATAAAAAAGTTAGTTAGACGTAATGTTTGTGGATGATGAGTGAGTGCAAACAAAAAAACACTAACGAGACTGTTAACGAAGAAAGGAGTTCAGTCAGTGACTTGATGTACTTGACATTTTTGACGCGTATAAGTGTTCTGTCGGTAACGTTACAGCCAAGACACGCCCGTATCAACTTTCGTATATCCAACTAATTTATGTAATACAATTTTGTTCTTTATTATGAATTTTAATTACGTAAAGTGAACATTTGAAATATTTTGTGGTTGTTAATTCGATAATTTACATGGAAGTATTCCTTTCTTATCTTTCATTTCTGTGTTATAACTCTCTCTCTCTCTCTTTCTCTCCCTTCTTCTCTTTCTTTATTTCTCTTTCTCTTTCTCTCTCTCTCTCTCTCTCTCTCTTTCTCTCCTTCTTATGTGTGCACATTTTCTATTTATATTCGGAAATGTAAAATATGACAAGAGAACCATAACAGCTAACCGTATTTTTAAAAAGTTTTTGAATATTTTCAACACTCGTTAAAACGTCGTCGTCGTCATTGATGTTCGTGTTAACGATGATGCGTTTATCATTTATTACATTAGTGTCTTTTATGTTGTTGATGTTATTGTTGTTGTTGTTGTTGATGTTGTTGTTGTTGTTTATATTACTGTTGATGTTTGTATCTTCCGAACTGACAATGGACATCTGTGAAAAGAGAGAGGTACTTCATTTAATGTTTATCTAACAATTTGTTGACATTTCACTTCAACATTGGTTTTATATCTCCCGTTTGTTTAATACAGTTTGATATTTTACACTGGCATGAATCGCGTTGTTTCTGTTTTAGTTTACAATGTTGGGTGCTAACTGGGTGAACAATTACTTTGAAGTAAGAAGTTATTTAAAGTATGTGGCGAAGATGCACAAACTGCTGCCATGTTTTTAACTTTAGCACTTTTCAATGATCAAAACACTCACACACAAACAAAGTGAACGATGTATAAGCATTTTGTAATGTTTAATTTTATAACGCTCAAAACATAAACGAATCATGAAATTAATCTAAAATTGTTAGATTACCGATTTGATGTTTTTTTTGTTTTTATAGCAGAAATATTTAAAATTGTTATTTTTTTAAAAATTGGTGTTATAAAGTTGAAACCACTGATTGAAAAACCTAACTTTAAAAAGTTTCACTTCCGTATCCCAAAGTTTATCCATCCATTTTCTGCCGAGGTGATTGCCACCCATCCTCAAAGCAATCTCTCTCATCCCATCTATGTAACGTCTCTTGTTAGTGCGGCTGTACTGCGACAGGAGGAAACTTTTGGGACCTTTGTATGATAGGTCGCCGACATCTAACTAATTTTAAGAATTTTTACGAAATATTATTTGATGTTGAAGCGTATACAAAAGTTAAATATTGATGATAAAATTATTATAATCATACATGATTAACCATGACTAAAATAATTTTGTTCTAAAAACTTATACGAGTATAAAAGATAGCTAATTTTATTCCAAGAAGAATTGTGACTTATATATGGCCAACAAAGATTTTCTCTATGATCATAAGTTGACATTGTTGTTTGATTGCTTTTTGTTGTCTTTTAATGCTATTTTGATATGGGCATATATAACTTAGGTTTAAGCCCACTATTTGTTTATATTTATATTTATTTATTTTAGTCAACGAAAAAATTGCTAACAAATAACAACGCTGAATTTACGACAATTAAATAGTTTTGCGAAATTGTGGAACAGCATACACGTCAGCGCACCGCGTCACGTGACTCACCGACAAGATGTTCCGTTTCAATTCTTCATCATATCCATCACCCAATTTGACGAACGGAAAAACATCGATAGAGTGGGAAATCCCCAAGTAATTTTCCAGGTCGAATGATTTTTCGTTTCCACGGTTGAAACTGCTGGTGCTGTTCGGCTCGGAGGTGAAGGACGATGGTGGTGTAGCATTTCTGAAAAACTAAATTATATTTAAGATGAAGAATTGTCAATTTTGAAATTGCAAAATCAACAATAACATTATTAATAAAAATCAACGTTAACATGGCATCCAACAACATTAAAACATTAACAACAACCCCAACACAACAACCACAACAATAACAACAACAACATAACAACAACACAACAACAATAATAATAACCAGAACAACAGCAACAGCGGTATCACATACCTCAGCGAAATACTTCCAGACAGTTTTTCTTGATGTACCGCCATCGTCGACAACCATGTGAGCAGCTTCAAACGAAGCAACACATGTCCTGTAGTGTTTGGAAGCCTTGTTTATAGCGGCTACGTCCAACTTTTCAAGGGCCAGGTCGTTTTCTAAGAGCTTTCATTTTTTTTATCTCAATTTATTTGTGTTTGCTTTTGTTTATTTATATTATATATTTTTTTAATGTTTTTTTGCTTTAACTTGAATTCAAGGAAGTTTTTTGAATGTATGCGCGAATGACAAAGCATTTGAATTAAATTGTTGTTTGTTTTTGAACATGAGTTTGTTTGTGCGTGCACGTGTGTATGTGTGTATTTGCGTGTGTGTGTGCTTGTTAGTGTGCGTGTGTGTGTAGAGCGTGTGTTTGCGCATTTAAATCGAATTATGCTTGTAACGAATGTTTATTCGAGAGAAAAAAATGTTAATAATTCAACGCCACATAATAACTTTTTCCAACTGATCCATAATTTGAGTTGACAGCGGAAAGATACGTTCCCATTCCTTTGCATAATCCTTGCGATCCATCATTTCCTTATCTTTATTTATTTTTTTACTATTCTTTTCATCATTTTTCATGTTTTTAACTTTAAATTTTTCACTCTTCAAACTATCATTTTCAACTTTTTCATTCATTATTCCTTCCTGCAAATTGCCGCAGACGTATCGGTAGAGATCACCACACAGTGCATCAGCATCATCGTCTGCTGGACTCGGGGATTGCATTGCTACTTTGTACTGTGGTGACGTTGTTGTAGTTTTTGGAATGAGGTCAGGTGTCGAAGTTTTTGATGTTGTTAATGATAGTGTTGCTGTTCTTAACTTCGTTGTTGATGGCGTTGTAGACTGAAGTTAAAATTGAAAAATATGAAAAAATACTTTGAAACGTTTAACATTAATTTTAAAATTATAGGAAAATATAACCATTGTAAGAAAAGTCATTAGACAAATGAAAATTGAAGTATAAAATAATATTGCTACCAATGGAAAAATAATAATGATGCTAACGTGAGATAAATTACTTTTCGAATTCTTCAAAACGAAACAGCAGCCAGCAATAAAAAGAGAAATAAAAATAATAGCAACAGCAGTGGCAACGACATCAAACAGCAGTATCTTTTTGTTATTATTATTATTATTATTATTATTATTATTAGATAGTTGTTGTTGAGTATGACGACGATGATGACTACAGCGCTGATGGCGTGGATGGTCGCAGCAGCAAAATTTGCTTGCGGCTTTCGAATGAGTGGCTGAGCTACAATTTGAAAACCATCTGGATGATTCCAATGTTGTTGATGATGACGTCGATGATGACGTCAGTGATGGCGACGACGATCCAGAGTTTATTTGTATAACTGTGAAAATTTTGAAAATTCAAAAGTTTTTATGTAGCAGTATGCTTTGCAGCAATAACGACTCAAGAAAATTTCAATTATAACAATAAACACAACACGTCCACACTTACAAAATGGGGAAAAGGAAGTTGTTGATGACGTCACGTAGCCATGGCGGCCAACGTCGTCATCCTCATCACCTTCCTTACAGAAACAAATGATGTTGTTGCAATGGTTGTTGTTGTTGTTTGTGCTGTATATGTTGTCTATGTTGTTGTTGTTGTTGTTTTTAATGTTGTGTAACGAGTGAATGTTATAACAGTCGGCATTATTGTTGTTATAGCTACTAAATTTGATGACTCCATTATCCGTACTATTTGAATCAGCAACATATCTGCGAGAATCTGCTGATATTGTTGACGATGCCGTCTCATAAGAAAATACGTTATTTAGGATGCTACCATCAAAAGCATTGATGTTAGCATGGATATTTAGACTGCTAGTGATTTTGTCATTAACGTTGTTAAGAGTAGGGATTATTTTATTCTTGTTATGACATTTGCAACGCAAAGTATGACTGACGTCACGTTGAGAACTGAATGAAACGTCATTGGAGTGCTTCATGAGAGGCTGACAATCATCTCCTCCATACATTTTTTATGTTTGTTGTTGTTACTGCTGGCGCTACTGATGTTGTTAATGTTGATGTGATTGTTGTCGTTGTTATTGTTGTTATTGTTGATGTTGTTATTATTGTTTATGTTGTTGTTGTTGTTATTGTTAATGTTAATGTAATTGTTGTTTTAAATGTTTCATTTTTTTTGTTGTTGTTTTTTCACTCTCTATGTTTTACAGTCAGTACATTAGACAGGCGTCAGTTGCTGATGTTAATTTAGATGTGTGTGTGTGTGTGTGTGTTGTTGAGTGAGCTGTTGTTGCTGGAACTTCTGAAAAATAGGTAAGAGAATTATATGAAATAGAATTGAAAATATAATTCGATAATAAGACATACTATAATTATTGACGATGTTATTTACGTGAGAAAAAATGACGCCGAGTGTTTGTCTGCCATTTTGCTTCAAAAAACTCATTTTGGAGAAACTCTAGAGAAATCTGGCTTTGTCAAATTAGGATAATAGTAATAATAATAATAATGTGAACTCTTTTATTTTCCAAAGACAGAGCATAAGTAAAATCAAAATATTGACAATAAAATAAAATTGAATATTGTTAAATATACAGTTAGATGAATAAAATAAAATAAAATAAAGATAAAGTGTTAGAGTAATACGGATAGTCATCATTGCTCGTCATCTTATGAAAATAAGTAAATACCATGATGATAAATAGTATAAAAAACTTCACTCATTGTTTCTATCACAGTACAGAGCATATGATGACGAAATTACACTGTTAATCAAGCTAAATCTAAAATAATCGGTCCAAGTTATATCAATTAAAGATATATTAAAAGGATTGTAAAAGCCAATTGGCGATATTTCAAAGGTATTAATTAAAATATTGCAATGCTTAAAGTCATCAATAATATTATCTTTCAAATTACCAATATATTTATTCATTTTAAATTGTTTTGATTTTATGAAGTTAGTTTCATGGCAGACAGTCAGTTCAAGTATCTTGATCGTGTCTTTGTTGCGGACAGCAATGTCAGGACGGAGTGATCTGAACAAGTCTGTTATTGGTCGTATCTTTTCCCCTTTCAAATCCGCAAAAATCTCGACACCCGGCCTCGCGTCTACCATGAAATTATCGATAATTATTTTTAAAATTTTGTTGTGACGATCTAAGTATCTGCTCAATGCAGATGATGAGCCACAGTTTGACATGACGTGTTTGTTCGTTTGTGTTGCATTGCAGAGCAAACATGATGCATTTGTAGTTTTGCCCCATCTGAAGAGGTTGGCGTTTGTTGGTAGCTGTTGAATAAGGTATTTTCTGGTGAATTTATAGAGGACCTCTGATAGCTTTACTGTCGACCTGGACCATCGCGTTATCTCGGAGCTATTGATGTACTCTTTTATTGATTTCACAAGGGTACCTTGGCATTGCAGCAGCGAGAGATGATTAAAGTTCGTTTCATAATGCTTCTGTTTTAGAGCATTCATTGCTGGTTTTAATTCAACATTTCCCAGGATCAGGTTGTCAATCTTTCCATAATTGTTGTGAGATTCACTCCACAATGATCTCATTTCTTCATTACTATTTAATTTGAGATAACCACGGAGTTTTAGACGTAACATCTCGGCGTGCTGTTTCAACGATTTTATGTTGAGGCCACCAGTTAATAATAATAGTAATAATAATAATAATAATAATAATAATAATAATAATAATAATAATAATAATAATAGTAATAGTAATTGAATAGTATACTAATAAGAAAATACACCTCAATAATATCCACAACACAATAGTTTCTATACAACACATTTCAATTCTGAAGAGGAGTTAATATTGTTTTAAAACGTCACCATCATCTTAATCTTAATTGCATTCATTACCATTGTTATCATCATCATCATCATTGTTATCATTATCATCATCGTTATCATTATTATCATCATCATTATCGTCGTGAAAATGATATGATACATAACATACTCTCATTTCATCAATGCTGATAAATAATTGAGTAAAACTATAAAGACACCTACATATCACACACACACACATACATACCCTAACACACACACACACACAAAGTGTAAATTGTTGTCCAATCATTCAGACTTATATAATTTATGTAGTGTGATCTTGTACATATGTGTGTGTGTGTTCAAAAGAGAAGTCTTCAATAGCATAATAGATGCAGAGCTCTAAACCTAACATACGTGTAAACAAAGAACTTGATTGCTCGCCGCGATGAAAAAGTATAAAAAGTAAATTTTTTATCTGTAACTTTTTATGTAACAGCTGTTACCATAAAGCAGTAACTTTTACTACTGGTACAAATACACACACACACACACACGCACGCACACACACACACAAACACACTTATATATAATATAATATAACATGAAGAAATAATACAATAACAAATTAACATACTTTCACACATGTGTTTGTATGTGCAATGCCTATAAAATGAAAAATTAGATTGGAAGTAAAATGATATTCTATGACAGTAGATGGTGTGTGCGTGTGTGTGTATGTGCGTGCGCGCGTGTTTGTGTGTATGTGTGTGCGTGTGGTGTGTGCGTGTGTGTGTGGTTTCTGGGACCTCATAGTTTGATAAAAACTTAAGCATACGCCTATAAGCGTCTAATATGATTAAATGTGATAGTGAATAATGTTAATTATTAATAAAAACTATTGACTAAAGAGATTTGATAATATGATGTATCTAATTATACGCATGATACAATGCTGTAAAATTCAATAAAAATTTATCTAAATCACAAATATATAACTTTTTAAATAACATAAAAATGGGTCTAAATTAAGTAATTAATTACATAATTTAATAATCATTAATAACTAACCGAAGATAATTTTCGTTTTTTCTTCATCTTCATAGAAAAAATACCGAATAATTCAACTCTTAGACATGGGATAAACTTCGTTTATATGTTTGATTTAATTACAAAACAAATTAGTTAAATTATTATTAATAATTATAAAGTTAGAAAATAAAGACAACTAAGGTTGATTAGTCTGTCAGTAAACCTACAACACTAAAATAAAAAGTTTATTATTATTATTTTACTATTATATTATTATTATTATTTAATTAATAAAATGTTACAAAACGTTGCGTTTGATTGTGTAAATACCAATCCTCACTAAACCTCACCTCGTATAAATGATTTCAAACATTATTTTCACCAATATTTATTCAAAATAATTGGAACCAAGCAGCGTCACTATGAACATCGTCGAGTTGAATGAATGAATGAAAGAAGGAATGAGTGAACTAGCGATCGAAGAAACGAATGAACGAATGAATGATTGATTGGACTAATAAATAAATAAATGAATGAATGAATGCTTTGTGTTCTTAAACACACTTTCGCTGATACATTGTAATGTTGCTTTATGTGTTGTTTGGTATATAAACGCCAGTAGTAGTAAAAAGTCAGTATTAGAAGTAGTAATGAGTAACGAAGTATTTACTATGTTGATGATGAAATATGATGACTAAGATCACATCAGTTTTGATGATGAAGACGATGACGACGATGATGATGTTGCCGACGATTGTATCGATGGTTCAGTTCAGTGCGGGTTTATTATGGCCTGAAGTTCTTTCTGTAGGAAGAAAAAATTGTCAAAATAATAATAACTACTAATACTACTACTACTACTACTACTTTTACTAGTACTACTACTGCTACTGCTACTACTACTACTACTACCTACTACTACTACTATTACTACTACTTCTACTACTACTACTACTACTACTACTCCTACTTTACTTATACTACTACTTTTACTATTAATAATAATGACGACAATATGAAAAACAATTTTCACAGCAACAACAACAGAAATAACACTACAATAACACAATGTAAATAAAAATTCACAGCCATCACCGACCAGCAACCAAATAAAAAAAAGGCATTTATGTTAGAAGTAAACAAACGAAAGCAAGCATAAATCAATATATCAATAAATAACAAATAATGAAAATCAGTAATAATAATGATAAACAATAATAACAATTATTATAAATAAACTTGCGTACCATTCATACTTTGAATAACATAAGTTAAGTTCGGCATATGACAGTTGATGAGTTGATGAGTACTGCATTGTATTGAATGTTCGGGACAATTGGAGATATATATTAATATAGTTTATATATATATGTGTGTGTGTGTGTGAGCAAATATATATATATATATATATATGTGTGTGTGTGTTTGTGTGCATATACGTATATACATATACGCACATATATATATATATATAAATATATGTGTGTGTGTGTGTGTGCAAATATTTGTGTCAATGAATGCTTAGTTACGCTTTTATAAACACACACACACGCTAACTTTTTTTACCTGAAGAACAGATGAATCAAATAGCTAAAATAGTTTTAGCATCAAAAACAGTTGAAGAAATTTTTTTGACGGCTACTCGTACACTCACACACACACACACATGTAGACTCACACAAGCAAAAATATGAACACACATGCACAAATAAAAACACATAGATATCTATAGGTATATATCTTCTCACACAATCACCCATTGCACATTCAAAATCTAACATGCACATGTGTACAACCAATCAAAGGATTTATACAAAAGCACACAAAATTCAACAATGCAATGTGTACACAGACACACACACAGGCACACACAAACAGACTCACAAACACATACACACAACACACACGTACACGGGAACAAACAACCATTAGTGCACTTTGTTGTCGGTTCCTTGAATAGGTGATTGTTTTAATGTGAATTAGATAGATATTCGATAGATGGGACTGATTAGCATTTGAATACCCCTTATACGTGATCGGCTCCACTGACACGAACTGAAAAATGTGTGTTTGTGCATTCACGCATGTGTGTGCGTGTATGTGTGAATATGATTCTTGTATGCTTGTATTTATGTGTGTGTGTGTGTGTGTGTACTTTGTATGTATATGAAAGCTAAAGTTTACATA